AAAAGTTAAAGGATTATTTACAGTCCGAGGCACATATACTACATGCATAGCTTCTGTCCTCTCCAGACCTTAGACACCCCATCTCAGTCCGATTCGCTGCACTTGCCGCCATTGTGGCGATTCATCAATATCGCAGAACTGATACGCTGGGGGGCTTAAATCTGCTGAATGAAGTTAATGGCATCTTTAAATGCCTCTTTCTTCCACCCCTATGTCCAAAATGGAGCCGAGCATTTGCAGAGTGACACCCAATGTGTTAGGATTAATTATCGCCCTCCACAACCCCACCTCACCCTGCAAGTTAAAGATTCAGAGAGGAAATGGCCCCTTTCATGCAAATGAAATTGAATATGTCAGTCAGTATAATTGTGAAAACCGAGCTGACTTGGACTGGTGTCTGTGCCGAATAGGGGTTCTAACAGAAAGTCGGTTTATTAATGTTCCTCTCTCCAGTCTTTGATTCATGCTCTTTAATGGCTTGGAAGATCAAACTTTAGTCTAAGGCGAGAGTCCTGATGACTTTAAATGTTTTGGCCATTATGAATGAAACCCACACTCTGATCTCTTTGAGGGCAGTTTTTAAATCCAATGTTTGGCTGTGAGTTGAAGCCAATATCAAACAAACTTGTAATGAATGCAGATCCGCGAGATGCTGTGAACCAAAGTATCCTTTGAGTTCAGCATGATGATATCATTAGCCCCAGCAACCAGTTACGGGCAGCCTTGCACTTGACGTGTCGTCTGGCCCTGCGACAGGTACTCTGTGTGCTCTGTAGAGCACAGGCTTTTAATTCTCTGCAAGTTCAACTCACCACATGCAGAAACCCGGGTTTGCAAGGTCAAGGACAAAACCTTGCAGTTTTAATTTTACTTTTTAAATCGGTGCTATTTTCAGTTCTGTGTTTCATGACTGTTTTATTAATTAGTTTTATCTTTAGAAAGCTTCTGTTTGGTTTTAGTCGGAAAGGTTAGGGTAAGCTGGGACACAATAATGAGCATTTTGATAGTTGTTCAAGCATCCCAGTACTCTACCTCATGTTTGACATTGTTAATTAGGTATATGATGCAATGCTGCCTCTCCAAGCGGACAATAACCACAGCAGTCTGTAAGGGACGAGGCACATTTGCATTCTTCTGTTTTGTCTGGTATCATTGCTTTTGTGTTAGTACATAATAGAGGCATGCTTGGACATTTATTAGGTCAAACACAACTACCAGAACTGAAAAAGATACTGCAAACACTTGTTTTTTTACCTTTAAATCAAATTATCAGACTTTTTATTTGATGAAATTCATTAATGTCAGTGTGTCAGAACATCTCGGACATTGCAGGGCCAAAGCTTACATACTGTCAAACATTTCGAACATCTCAACCTCCCCGACATCTATATGTATTTGAAAGACACGCTCTAATCAAAGGTGGACGACAGCTCGTGAGGAGATATCTGGAAACCCCTAAAGCGCCACAGATGTCTCCCGACCTCTCCCGACCCTTAGCTGTCTCTCTCTCTCTCTCACTCACACCTTTTTTTTTTAATTTCCAGAGAGCGACTAAAACTTAGAGGTGGTGTTAAATTATTTTACAAAATGATATCAAACATGAACTCTCTCACAGCTCTGCTCCTGAACGTGCGATCTTCCTGTCAAGTCTATTTAAATGACAAAGATGCCGAATGTGCAAAAGGATGATTGCAGTACCAGACAGTGCCATTTATGCTTCGGGTGAAATAAGGTCAAATACAAGCTAACCGCCCGAGTGTGGTGACGTCATTTGGTTGATTAACGAGACCACTTCAGCTGAAGGCTTAAATACTTAAAAATACCCTCGAAAAGGACAAAAAAATGATGAGGGTGGTATACAGTAGCAGCAACAGTAATAAATTTCATGATCTGGATTCGCAGCACCCACATTGTTGAAGGCTTCCAATTTCCCTTTATTTCCATCCATTAAAAAATATATAGTTCCAATCATGAAACGGTCTGCCCCCTCAGCCCCGTGGACATGGGTGTTCTTAAGGACGGTAAAGGCTTTCGGTCGGCCGCCAAATTATTAACATGGCATTGATCCATGAAAAATACAGCCTGTGGGATGCTGTGAGGAGCTTCTTTCCAGGGACAGCGAATGGGAACAAGGTTACATAATGACCTCGAGGGAGAGCAGGCACACGTCGCTAACCTTTGAGCGAGTCACAGGGTTTACACCTCTCATTTGTTTGCTGGCAACAGCTTAGCACTGGATTAAGAGGTGCCCAGCCATGATATTATTCCATGTAGATTATGATGACTGCTCAAAGGAGACGCCAACGTGCAGCAGAGGTAACAGATCATCGGTTGGATCAATTTAGATTTTGCAGGATTTAGGAAAAAACAATGGTCACGAACTATGAACAGAGCGATTCTTCTCAGTAGAAAACGTAAAAAGGACAACGTTGTGATATAGGGTTTCTTCACAGCATGAGTTGGCACTATGTTTGCTCATAGATCACCTTTTTGGTTGTCAAGGTGTCATTTGTTTTATTATTCTGAGAAATCCCAGGTTTCAATCAGCCTTTGTCTACCTGAAGCCATACAAGGAGTCCACCAAAATGGATGTTTGTCAGCGGCAGACCTAAAATGGGGGGTATGATGGCGATATCAGCGGCCATGTCTGTGAAAACACCATTACCTCCATGTCACGCCTCAATAACTCCACATTGTGCGACAACTCTCCCCCCCAATCCACCCCCTTCCCCTCACCTCCAGTGCTGATCTCCTGTACATGTCGTCGCAGTCTATCACAGCCGGCGTGGGGAGACGCACTGAGCCGTAATGGATGGGCCCGGAGCGAAAACAGCCCCAATAGCATATCAATTACCCATCAGCACCCTCTCGGCTCGATGCCAATGTGCACCACACCCCAGCCAAGTGAATGAGATAAGGTGCAAATGCAGATATAATGGTGCTTTTTGTCATGTACAAATTACACAGTGTCAGCTCCGCAGCCCACCTGTCGGATCTGTCAGCCAGTGAATGAGAGATTCTAGAGTGTGTGCGTGAGAGAGAGGGAGAGAGAATTTGTTAATACGTGTATGCACGAAAAGACTGTGTGCATGTCATGAGGCAATCAGGTGATTTCCCAGACTCATTTGCCCAGTGGAAGCCCAGCTGCTCGCCTGTTTATCCGCTCGCCCTTTTGATTGCTGACCACACATCTTATGTCACCTCTCCACGAAACCCGCAGGTTAATTTGTCCCCGCTCACAGTGCCGCTGCCGCAGCTGCTGGGCGGTCCGACCTGGGAGGAGAAATCAGCCGACACACAAGCAGGCACGCAAACAAGCGAGATCACGCGCTCTCTCACACACACACACACACAAATTAGGTGATTTTTGATGGTGAGCCGCTGTGTAGCTACTAACGGCTGATTTGATTGATAAAAGGCAAACAGTTGCTCCGCAGGGGGTCAGATGGGGCCGCACCTCCCAATGAAAGCTGGCACTCAAGCCTCAGAAGATACTCGTGGGTCTGACTTCACACTATGACATAATTTCCATTGAAATGAAAAGCCTTGATCGACGTGATAAAGCTGGAATGTAAAACTCACAATCAAAATCTCATCAAGGAGAGACAGGCTCCTTTGATTACCAATCACTTTCTTGTGTTTTGATTTTCAGACGGTTGTAATAGAAACGTCAGCTCCTGAGCAGACACTGATTGTCCCATGGGGGGAAAAAAACAAACAGCGAAACAGAACTTAATTCTTGGAATCGGGTTAAAATGTTGATAAGATAATTATTATTTCATAAAGGCTGAATTATACTGAGCACTTTTAGTTGCTGTAAAAAATGCAGGGACGTGGTTGCAGGTCTTCACTGATGTGCAGATCAGTGCCTGAGCAAATGCCATTGTACAGTGTTTGTCCGACCACCACAGCAGAAGGGAACATCCACACAAAGCAAACATTGTTCCCCTCTGCTATCCTCTCACCTCCAGTCCCCTACATTTTTAGCATTTTTTATCCTCGCTGCCTTTACACTTGACTTGTCGCTCTGAATTGAGGGACCAATTAGGAGCAACCGAATGCTTGCATCGCCAATCAGAACATTGCGAGGACCTTATCAGGTGCGTGTCTCATTTGCATGGGGCACAACCACCGTTGCCGGATTTCCAGAGATTAGTGTTGTTTGTTACTGAACCAACAAACGTCTGTTTCTCCAAAACCGTTTGGAAAATGTTAACGTCTGTTATCAGAAAAAAAAAGAAAATATGTCCCCTTCATTATCCAGTGGAGCAGAATGTGGACAATGTGCTGGTAGCAGCTTGTTAGGATAGAATACTCATGTGCTGAATGACACTGAAACAAGCAGTTCACAGACAATTATCCTTTCACACAAAATGCTGAATGATCTACATTTGTGTTTTTCCTATTTTGAAGACTTTTTTTCCCCTCTTTACTGGAATTTTAAATTAGCCTCTCGCTAACAACGACCACTGATTACAAATTACAATGTAGCCCGAAACAACCGACATCCCAAAACCCAAATTTCTAACACATTTCGGAACAAATAAAACATCAAGTGCATTATATTATGGTCGATTTTTCTTGACCTCCTCTTTCTCCCTACAAGATACCAAGTTGTTTATGTCCTTTAATCCAAGAATTCCTCCCTAAAAGTCGGCCTGTTTATCAAAGTGAATATCCTTCACAGGAGATTTCAGAGTGACTTAGAAGGACTTCCAGGGTCAGGATAAAACGCTTTGCACATTCTGCTCCCGAGACCTCTGTCCTTTACTTCTGATCTCAGCCACTGATCATCTGTTTCGACTTGCACAATAAAGTCAGTACAATCTCTTGTCTCGACCTCCACAGACAATCCTCTTAACAGCCACATGCTGAAATCTGCAACTTTGGTACTTTCCGGTGTGTGTGTGGCTTGATAAGAGAGATTAATTGCTCTGTCTGCAATGTTTAGCTTGCCTCGCTAACTATTTTTTGTTATCTTTTATTCTGTCTCTCCCCAGCACCACCAAAGTTTTTAAGAACCCCCAATGACCAAACAGGCGTGCAGGGAGGCGTGGCGTCCTTCATCTGCCAAGCTACAGGAGATCCACGGCCCAAGATTGTGTGGAACAAGAAGGGGAAGAAAGTCAGCAACCAGAGATTTGAGGTATTAGGTCTATTGTTCTGATGTAAAATGCTCGACAAAATGAGAATGCCTCAGCACTGCTTCTGGCTCCGCTTGCACATAATCCATCGCGCCAAGCCTCGCTCACTTGCTTTTCACCCCAACTTGCCACCACGCATTAGCAGGCTCTAATAATCATGCTGGCCAGCCTTTTGAACATGCATGAGTTTTAATGAGCAAGTGCACCACAGATCAAGGGGCAGATTTGTAATCAAATAAGAGACAAGAAAAGAGCAATTGGACAGAAAATAATAACTTGTGGTGTGACCTAGATACCTACATTAGGATCACGCCACATTTGCCAGCTTTATGCAAAGCGAAAGTAGCGCTTTCGCGTCAAGAATATCCTTTTGCTTCGTGGCATCTTTATCTAAATGCATGTCCTACCCTCCCTGTTTTGGCTGAAGCTTTGATTTCTGGTCAGCTTTAATCTGCACTTGGGCTCAATACCCATGAGGAATAACACATCTCCGCAGAACACTGATAAGATTTCTATTAATTTCTGTGTCAGTTCTCAGGACTATCATGGTGTCGCTTCCCCCCCCTCTGCTCTTGAGGCCTTATTTGCTTGCTAGTGCACAGCAGCGAGGGCTTAACAGAGCTCGGAGACCTCTTCCCGCCTCCTCTTTGGCGCCTCATGCCCGCAGAAATCTAATCTTATCAGAGTTCATCGCGTTTGCATCGCATGTTGTGCTGAATGCTAACACGCACATTTTCATTACCTCGTTGCCTCACTGGGCTTCCTGGCTGCTGCCATTCCGCACCCATTCAATCACGTACGGCCGCCTCATCTTCTAACAAAAACCCATTTCCTTTCAGAAGTCTTGCAACATCCTTTCTAATTTGCTCTTCTGCTTTAAATAAGAGAGGCTGCTCTTTACCATCACCTGCTGTCAGCTTGAATGCCAACGCAGCTGCAGCCTGGCCGATAAAATGTGAAGTTCATTGTAAACTAACACGTGCAAAGAAATTTTGTGGATTTAAAAAATGTTGTAGGCCTCTGTGTGTGCGTGTGTGTGTGTGTGTGTGTGTGTGAGAGTGTGTGAGAGAGAGTGTGTGTGTCAGAGGTCTCAGGCCTATCTTTATTGAAATCTACCTCTATGCTTAAAAGAGATTGAGTTATGACACAGGGCTTTCTAAACTCAGTGAGTATACAACATGTAGCATGCAAAAATAGCTGAATAAGCTACAACAAACACCTGTTTGTGAGCATTTTTTGTGTCGTCCGTCCAATACAGTCGGTCCTGTCTTTTGTACCACTCTCTCACCCCATGGTACAACTGTCCGTAACCGTTTATCAAACCGTTTATCACCTTTTAACTGTTTGTGCTTGTTTCTGTCCCATCGACACAATCCAGTGTGATGCATTTTTCAAGCAATAGTGTTAACTTTAAGAGTGGGACACGTTCAGATTCAAATTTCCCCTTCGCATCTGAGCAAAAAATTGTGACCAAGATAACCTTCCCCATTCTTAAAGTTAGTCAGCCGCATTAGAAAAAAAAAAGAAACACATAATGAATGGATCTAGTACATATCTCCAGCAAAAAAAAAATTACATATGCTCATTACTTACACATCATCTATCTCTATACGAATTTCAACACTGCACAGATACTTAAGTTACCTTTTACACATTTTCAGTGCACAACTTCAAGATGTACACAAAACCACTCAGGGTCAATGTAAGGTCTGCAGCAACCTTGTTTCTGTCATAGAAAGCACCTTGTGTCAGTCACCATCAGTGTCGTTAGCCAAATGTCCTCGACAGTGTTTGTTGTTGTTTCTCTCACTGCGGAAGGTCCATCCCCCCGTTGTGTACCCAAAAATCTCCTATAACATATCGTGTCTCTCGCACCTGCAGGTGATTGAGTTCGACGATGGCTCTGGTTCAGTGCTCAGAATTCAGCCACTGCGCACGCCCCGAGATGAAGCCATATACGAATGCGTCGCCTCCAACAGTGTTGGAGAGACGAGCGCTACCACCAAACTCACTGTTTTACGTGGTAGGTGCTTCTCAACAGCCCCAAAAAGAAACACACACACACACACACACACACACACACACACACACACACACCTCTAACATGCCATTCTTTCTCCCAGCTAACCCAGGTAAGCTTGTGTGTTTTGTTATTTTGTGTCTCTCCTGCCCTCTTTTCTTTGTTTCTCACTGTGCACGCCACACAGTCAAAACCAATTACAGATTTGAGTTGTGTATTCTAACTTGATAAGATTTAGTCCATTAGCCATTTAGCCGTGTAAGTTTCCATTTCTAAGTGACTTAAGACATTTGCATACACATCCCTGACACAATAATTAAGATGCCAGTTAAATTATGCAAATAGCAATCCATCCCTAGCCTGCAGCGGTTTAATGGAGAAGCTCAGCAATCATTTTCAAATCAGTCATTCCTCATCTCTGCAATTCGGCTTTGATATTCCTTTGACCGTGTAAAAAATAAAGTGGTGTATTCCCATGTGATTAATGATATTGTTGATGGTATTCTTCTAGTCAGAGGTTGCATCAATGCCAGTATCCTTCGGCCACCAGTAGCTATAAATATCTCCTGTGTACAAATGTTTTATATTCCAGGCGGGAAAGCGCTGCTGCTTTGCTTACTTCCGGTGAGCTGTGTTAATAAATCATATGACAAATGTTAAGTTAGTTGACTCTGTTGACAGTGCCTCTTTTAAAATAGGCACTGAGCAAAATTGTATCTTGATTACACACAACATTCCATTCAAAGACGAGTGTGTGGTGGCCTTGAGCTCAAAAGGCTACATATCTCTCTAAAACATGACTTGTTTGGCTGTGAATAGAGAAAATGGCTTTAGAAAAAAAAAAGCCCTGGGCTGCCTGAATGAGGTGTGCTCCATTATGGGCCACAATTACACAACATGGCAAATGAGTTCCTATTGAGAGGGGTCCCTCCACCCTATAGAAAAAAAGCTGGCTCTGTGAGCCCCCACCCCCCCACCCCCCCACCCCCATCCCCTGCTTCTTATCTCACCAATGAGCCAACAAAAGGCCCTTTGCACTGTCTCCAGAGGCCGATTGAAAGAGAAAGGTGGCACGTTCGCAGGCAGCTCCCTGTTTACTCTAGAGCACAGAGTGTGTGCGTAGGTGTGGGCATTCGCTCACATGCAATACTGTGCATTTCCTCTTTCACTCTCGCTGCGTCTATCTCTATTTTTTCCCTTCACACACACACACACACACACACACACACAGCAATAGATAGCGTAGGAACGGGTAGAAGCTGCTCTTCCCAGGCTCCGTGGTCTAGCATTAGCATGTTTATTACCATTTCCATTTTGCTCTTCTGCTGACTCTCTTTTCCCATCAATGTATTGAAGGTGAGTAACGGCCTACTGCGGAACAAAAAAAAAGAAAGGATAACAAGAGAAGGCTTTTTCTTTCTCAGCTTTGGTGCAAATACAAAAATGTGTGCTCCCTGTCATCACATTGCTTTTTTTGGATACATATAAACAGGAAATAGATGATTTAGGCAGTAATTTGCAATACTACACATCTGACGTTGTATCAAGGAGATATATTATTAGGCAGTTTGGTAGTGATGCTTTTAAAATCTAAAATAATTATCATATGCGGTTTTAGCAAAGGAAATAAGATGAGAATCAAACATTGGAGGAAAATGATGTGCAGAGCCACAAACGAGGATGTCAGGGATTGCTGTGATGAGAAAAACTCTGAATCTATAATTTCAATTTACACATTTCTTCAGCAGTTATAACCGCAAGTTGTGGAAATCCATTAAAAAAGCCAAACCAATTCCCCCACTTATCCAAAGACACAAGGACGACTGACTCCCAGGAAGTGGGGAGCGAGCCATGCACTGTTTGAGCTACTGTGAGGCAGCACCAGGTTATCTCAGGATGCATTATATATAATTTAGGAGAACCAAAAAGCTGCCTCCTTCCAAAAATACTTCATACAGTACCATAAATACAGCACGGCTGGTTCGCTACTTATCATTTCACATGACATAAACTGCAGTTTGAAAAATGCAACGGCACATTTTTTCCTAGGCCTGGTTTGTCATCATGGCCAACAAAAAGTTTTGTATCTCCACAAATTGGAGGAAGACTAAACTTCCACATAAGTGCACGATGCACGAGATAAATAAATAACAAAAGTAAGATAAGTGCTACTACACCAGGACTAATACATATAGAGTGTCTGTTCGTTTAGTTCATTTGGGCTCCAATGGTCTGTGGAAACGACTCCAAAGCATCTGTTGTGGGAAGCTCGCCACAGGGGGCGATGCCTAATTCCATGAAGGAAAAGCACATTGTTGTAATTGCCGTGCCATGAGGAGCGGGGACTCGAGGTGAATCCAAAATCCAAAGTACTGGGGGGATATTAGTATTCGGATGGGCCACTGACTAAATGGGAAGCACCATTAGTAATGAACTTCCAGGCTTAGAGAAGCGATTTGCATGAAAGGCGAATCCCGAAACGTAATGATGTTCCAAGTCAAATCTGCCAGGCCACGGCATGAGGTATGGCTTCTCTCATTGCGATTTTTTTCCTCTTTGGCGCCCTCTGTTTTGATTAACTATGAGATGACCCGACTCATATGCCACTCATGTCTTTGAATTAAGGTCGTCTCTATTTGCTTGGTAATGGAGAAAGACAGAAATGGATTTAGAAACGAAGAAACAGAACATTTTGGGCGTCACGGCTGGAGTATGATTTCAGTGAAGTGGTATTTCATCTAATTTATGAATATTTCCCTGTAAGATATCTGCATGTGCTCACAGAGAATCTGACAAGAACATCTGTCACAACACAATGTTGAAAATCTTGATTTTAACCATAAACGATCAATAAAAACAAGCAGAAATGTGGCCAGCACATCTCACAGAGTCTAGACTCTGTGCGAGCAAGTATTTGCAGCAGAATGATGTGTGCATTTGAGTGCTGCAGTTCATGATTCAGGCATGATTAAGGATTTATATTGCATCCTCATACCTCCATTACGCTGTCAACAGCCATTTTCCGTGCCCCGCACACAAGCGTGCAAACTTATGCAGCTGTGCACAACTTGACAGTGGGAGTGGAAAATGGGAAGCCACTCTCCTGTGACGGAAAAACAAAATGCATCATTTCCATTTGTATGGAATGGTGCTACGGCACGGTCAAAGCCGCGTAGCTGAGACAGATCTTTCCGCACACAATGAAAGGGGGGCCGCTACATGATCACCGATTATTCATAGACAATGCATGCACTCGGCTCTTTGTCATTGTTATGAGAAAAATTGTTTCTGCACATGAAAGACGCCAGAAGCTGCTTAATTTATATTCTAAGCCGGGATAACTGGTACCCACATGATGCTAGTCAATGTAAATTCTGTGTACACAGCAAAAACCTGTAGAAAGTGGTGATAGAAATAGCAAAAAAATAACTTTCTCCTCATCATCATCATGTGTTTCCCTGGCACAGAAAGTGTAATGCCTTCCTTTTAAGAAGAACAGGGCGAGCAATGAAATTACGCAGGAAGATAAATGCTGCGTCAGCTGCCTCGCACTGTCGGAGCAAGGGATGTAGTGGGGATGAAGCAAGTGACCATTGTACAGTTACTGTGCTTTGATTTGCGGGTGGGCGCTGCATAGATGGCTGGACCTGGGCTGTCAAATGGAACGCCCAGTTTTATTAAAGAAATTCATTGTCCTCCAAGAAATGTTTGTGTGAAAACACGCTGACTCACTGTGGGAGCTTAACTCTTTTCTAAGCATGAAACAGATTCTCCAAATGTCTTCCAACAGCATTTTTATTACTGAGGGAATTGTACAACCAAAATAGTCAGTTCTCCATGAGGCAAAATTGATATTGATTTTTCCTCTTAAAATATATTCGACTATGAAACTTAAATTCCCTTGTTGCCATCTAACAATTCGGTTTTCCATGGGAAGAAGCGGCCGTTAAAGATTTATCTGCAGAATGTTTTTCTCAGCTGAGCATGTCGAGACAAATAGTGACTGACAGCAGCCACGGTCACACACTATCTGTTATCCTCACATCCATTAAATCCATACTGCACTCTCCTCAATCCTCAACTTTCTCAGACGTCCCAATAAAAGAAGTGCGCGATGACAAGTTAGTCATGATTGTAATTAAAGAGATTGAGTCGACTGTCTCTCTGGAAACTGATCTCCTCTCCAGGAATAAATAAATAAGTAATTTTCAAAAACCAAATCAACCCCACACCCACTTAATATCTTCTGCGCGGTTAATCACAGGAGCCAATCGGTATCTGTGCAGCACGCAGGATGATTTAAGACAAAAGCGCTGCCAACAAGATGGATGTCGGACTTTGGCTTCGGCATGGTGTGTGGGAAAACATCTGCAGGAGCCACAGACACTTGGACTGCGCACGGGACATGATAGATAACACTTCACATGCTGGGACTCTGTATTTGTTTTAATCAAAGTAAACACAGCCTCGTACATTAATAATTATTGATTCAGACAAATGAGGTATGTGTGTTTTCTCCCCTTCACTGGCCTTAGATGCTGCTGCTCTCCACAGTGACCTCACAGGACTGGCAGAGTAATTAGGTGCTCAGTGGTTTTAAAATATGCAATTTTTTTTTTTTTTTACATCTTAGAGAACAGTACTCTTTGAAAGATGTTTCTTTGCAAATCAAATCTTTAAAATCAGGTATGTATGCATCTACAGAAAGTATAATATGGCAGTTTGTTGTTGTATTGTTATGTGGTATAGTAGAAGTAAACAATACTGAGGCTGCAGCCCTATCTGCTAGGTGATATATTCAGTATTAAAGTATGTTTCCTCTTTTTATCATTTGTATCTACAATTAACAGGAAAAAACTACTGTCTACTATCTGAATTTGTGCACAGTACACGATACGCCACATAGCAGAGCATAACATATTTTTTATTGGGGAATATTCCATTGGCTGAACTTGATGGGGCACAAGGTCGTTAAATAAGGAGCGTGCAAGTCTGAGCCAGGT